ATTTCCCATGGAATTCCCATGGATTCCTCCCATTTTTCCGCCTCAAATTTCTTAAATCCCCATCCAACCCCCTGTTGGATCCCGTGTTCCACCCCCATTTCCGCCATTTTTCCCGGGGTTTTTCCCCCATTTTTCCAGCCGTTTTTTCCCGGATTTTTTTCCCATCCGCCTCTCCGTGTCCAGAATTCCCATTTTCCCATGGATTTCCCATGGATTTCCCATGGATTCCTCCCGTTTTTCCAGCCTAAAGTTGCTTAAATCCCCATCCAACCCCCCGTTGGATCCCGTGTTCCACCCCCATTTCCGCCATTTTTCCCGGGGTTTTTCCCCCATTTTTCCAGCCGATTTTTCCCGGATTTTTTTCCCATCCGCCTCTCCGTGTCCAGAATTCCCATTTTCCCATGGATTTCCCATGGATTTCTCCCGTTTTTCCGCCCCCAGCTTCGTTAAAACCACCTCCAACGCCACCGTCGATCACCTCTCCAAGTACCTGGCCCTGCGCATCGCCCTGGAGGAAGCCCCGCCCCCCGGGCCTGACCCCGCCCCCTCCCTCAGTGACGTCAGCGAGAAGCAGTACACCATCTACACCACCACTTCCGGTGGTGCCTTCACGGTAACTTCCGGGAAAACCCGGAAGTGAACCGGAAGTGGGGGGGTGAACGGCGGGAAAATCATTTTGGGGCTTCCTGAGGGAAAATTTTGGGAATTTTTTTTCTGGGAATTTTGGGGGTTTCTGGAGGGGGAATTTGGGGGAATTTTGGGGGATCCTGAGGGAAAATTTTGGGATTTTTTTTTTTTGGAATTTTGGGGAATTCTGAGGGAGAATTTGGGAATTTTTTTTTGAATTTTTGGGGATCCTGAGGGGAAATTTTGGGATTTTTTTCTGGGAATTTTGGGGAATTCTGAGGGGGAATTTGGGAATTTTTTTCTGGGAATTTTGGGGAATTCTGAGGGGGAATTTGGGAATTTTTTTCTGGGAATTTTGGGGGTTCCTGAGGGAAAATTTTGGGATTTTTTTCTGGGAATTTTGGTGGATCCTGAGGGAAAATTTGGGGGTTTTTTGGGGGGAATTTTGGGGGAAATTTTGGGAATTTTTTTGGAATTTTTTTTTGGAATTTTTGGGGATCCTGAGGGAAAATTTTGGGATTTTTTTCTGGGAATTTTGGGGGTTCCTGAGGGGGAATCTGGGGTTTTTTTGGGGGGAATTTTGGGGGAAATTTTGGGAATTTTGGGGTGAATTTTGGGGGTTCCTGAGGGGAAATTTGGGGAATTTTTGACCCCAAATTTTGTCTTTTCCAGCCCCTGAACGGGTCCCTGACGCTGGAATTGGTGAACGAGAAGTTCTGGAAGCTCAGCAAACCCCTGGAGCTCTACTACGCCCCCACCAAGGAGCAGAAATAGGGGGAAATCACCCCAAAATTCACCCTGGGGACCCCAAAATTCGTCTTGGGGGCCCCAAAATTCATCCTGGGACCCTGAAATTCATCCTGGGGACCCTGAAATTCATCCTGGGGACACCAAAATTCATCCTGGGAGCCCAAAATTCATCCTGGGGACACCAAAATTCCATCAGGGAACCCCAAAATTCACTTGGGGAACCAAAAGTTCAACCCAGGGACCCCAAAATTCATCTTGGGAGCCCCAAAATTCATCTTGGGGACACCAAAATTCATCCTGGGAGCCCAAAATTTATCCTGGGAGCCCCAAATTCATCTTGGGGACCCCAAAATTTATCCTGGGGACCCCAAATTCCAACCCAGGGACCCCAGAATTCATCCTGGGACCCCAAAATTCATCCTGGGGACACCAAATTATGACCCAGGGACAGCAAAATCCACTTGGGGACCCCAAAATTCGTCTTGGGGACACCAGAATTCATCCTGGGACCCTGAAATTCATCCTGGGGACACCAAAATTCCATCAGGGAACCCCAAAATTCGTCTTGGGAGCCCAAAATTCACTTGGGGAACCAAAAGTTCAACCCAGGGACCCCAAAGTTCATCCTGGGGACCCCAAATTCATCTTGGGGACCCCAAAATTCATCCTGGGGACCCCAAATTCCGACCCAGGGACCCCAAAATTTATCCTGGGGACCCCAAATTCCGACCCAGGGACCCCAAAATTCGTCATGGGAGCCCAAAATTCATCCTGGGGGCCCCAAAATTCATCCTGGGAGCCCAAAATTCATCCTGGGGACCCCAAATTCCAACCCGGGGACCCCAAAATTCACCCTGGGGACCCCAAAATTCATCCTGGGGACACCAAATTCTGACCCAGGGACAGCAAAATCCCCTTGGGGACCCCAAAATTCGTCTTGGGGACACCAGAATTCATCCTGGGGACCCTAAAATTTATCCTGGGGACCCCAAAATTCATCCTGGGGGCCCCAAAATTCATCCTGGGACCCTGAAATTCATCCTGGGGACACCGAAATTCAGCCCAAGGACCCCAAAATTCATCCTGGGGACACCAAAATTCATCCTGGGGACACCAAAATTCATCCTGGGAGCCCAAAATTCATCCTGGGGACCCCAAAATCCACCCAGGGATCCCAAAATTGATCCTGGAAACCCCAAAATTCACTTGGGGATCCCTAAATTCCATCAGGGAACCCCAAAATCCAACCCAGAGACCCCAAAAGCACCAAAATCCATTTGGGGACCCCAAAATTCAACCCAGGGATCCCAAAATTCCATCTGGGAACCCCAAAATTCAACCCAGGGATCCCAAAATTTATCTGGGAACCCCAAAATTCCATCTGGGAACCCCAAAATTCATCTGGGAACCCCAAAATTCCATCAGGGAACCCCAAAATTCATCCTGGGAACCCCAAAATTCATCAGGGAACCCCAAAATTC